AAGCCTTTTAATGGGAATGAAATGTGTACGTAGCTACTACTCATTAGGACATATCTTATCTTTACTTTCACGTTTAAGATAACACTTCCCAACTTTAATTTATGTCTCTTTGCTCTTGTATTCGTCTCTCTCCAAACATTATGAACAAAAGTATAACGGTAATTATCCAAATTCAGATAGCATTTCACTTTTTTCCCTTTAAGTAAAGAAATTCATTATCCAATATCTTATAAAATCTGAGTTTGTACACTCATGTCAGCATAAAATCTTTTCCGACATCAAAATAAAAATTCGTGATTCTGAAATACATTTGTCATAGAAAATCCTCCAGTATATCCGTAGATTAATTACATACACCGGCTGGGTATATTTTTTCGCATTTAAAAAAATAGTATTTTAGTGATAATTAATATATTTTTTTATTTTGGTTTTTATGATTCGAGTAGAGAATAAGTAAAAAGTTGATTTCCTAATTTGGATGGATTTTTTTATCATATCCGAATGTTGTCGCGTGATAAAAAAAGAGGATCATCAGGTTTTTTTTTTTACGTGGCAAATAGAAATGACTACAAACTAGGACCAGTGAATCCATACACACGTTAGCCGACCAATCAGGTGATCTCGCGCGTTGAAAAGACCAACACGTGGTGGAAGCAAACCGAGTTGACGGCTGGAACCAGATAGCCACGTAGGTAGTACAGCAAACACATCTGACTAGCTTTATGGCTCGTGCGTGGGCCCCTCGCCAGACCACCATTTTTTCTGCAAAATTTTGTTCTCTCTCTTTAATTTCCTCACCAGTCACCAACACAAGTCCTTTTTTTTGCTTTTTGGCCGACACCAACAAAACCAACCTTAATTTTTTATATTTTTTCAACCATTTTTAGTTTCTGTGTAATTATGTTTTTGCATTACACTATTTCAATTATGTAACTGATAAGCTGAACTTCATATTCCTATACACACCTTCACTCAGAATGATAAGACAAACAGAGAATTTATCAGCTAATTTAGTGTTACAAAATTTATGGGATAGAGATTTCATCATTTATGTGGATGGATACATTTGCTTTCCTCCTACATAAGTTGCAAAAATTGTAGCAGAACCGTCTTTTGAGAACTCGTCCCACGAATTTGTTGTCAATATGACAAAATCAGCGAGCTTCCCGCTAGATAAAGACCCCAAGTGATGATCCAGAAAGGCTGCTCGTGCCGCTGAGATCGTGTGCCTGCGGTTTTCATATCAAGAAGATGAATGAATGCTTCAAGAATGAATACATTTACTTAAGTCGGAAAAAAAAAAGAGTTTAAAAAGGCTAGAGAAGAGGCTTGTTTACGCAGTCAGAGCATCGGTAAAAGAGATGCATTCAGATGGAATCCAAGCGTGATTCCATTTGGGAGGTATTCGTTTAACCGCAGTTCTGATACTGTGCAACGGGTTAATGTCTGCCACCTAAAGCAAAGACAAACGGATTAAGCATAAATTCTTGGTTTGGAAATATGAAAAACTTTCAATAGTTGGAGATTATCGAAACCTACAGGCCAGTCTGAACCAAATGCCACGAGTGCTTTGCCATTTAAGAGAGATTGAAATAGATAAGACTCCTTTTGAGCTCTATCAAAACCGAGCTTCTTAGGAGCAGTATCAGCATCATCAAGCAAATGGTCTGGCTGTTCACAAGTGTTAGATATGTTAGAAATCAAGTAAATGAGTAATTTATGCCCTGATGAGGGTAAGTGACTAACCTGCACCGACGCTACAATGTGAAGTTGACCGAACCGATCAGCTGACCCTGGTGCCAGATGTTGGGCATGCTCAATCTATAACCAGGATTTTAGAGATATTAAATATGGATAGAAGTAGCAAATGAGCAAAGCATATAGCTCAGAGGAAAAGGTATTTTTAAAACTTCACCCTAAACCGTCTATCCCGGTCTCCATTGGCTGCAGCAACGGATTCATACATGTCAAGGATCATGTCATTTGCTTTGTCGCCTATAGCATGGATAGCAACCTTGAACACACAACAAGAAAAAAAGCAACTTATATGAGTTGTTGAATTTACTTCTGCTATTAGACTTAGATATCGACTGATACAATGAACAAGCAATGGACAGAAGTAAACAGGGACCTGAATCCCTGATTTATCAGCTGCAATTGTGAAGTTAGAAAGTTTCTCAGGATCCATCACTACCAACCCATGATTCTTAGGTGTGTCAAGATATTCCTGCAAAAAGATATAAACTGTGGGATTGTAGTGCTATAATGTATATTTCATTACACTGAACAATATGAAATTCTTTTTCAACAAAATACCAGATGAATTAGAAAGAATATACAGTACTCCTCACCTCGTAAAAAAGTGCACTGTTAGAACCTAGAGAGCCATCAATAAATGCTTTGACACCACCGAGATACAACCATTCACTCAGTACAGGTCCCTTCTGAAGCTTAAGATCCTAGAAGTACATGAGCACAAATAGATTTTCAAGGAAATGCAGAAAAAGCACAATAATAATTCTGCAAGCAACGGTGGAAAAGAGAGCAGGGATCTTTAATCGCAATCAGAGCACAAATGATATAAAACATCAAAAGAGATGTTAAATTTCAGGGATTACCAAGGTTTCACTTGTATATGAGATGCATATCGTTATGAAAGATGAAAAACATATGTACATTGAAAAACATGAAGTTGAAGAACGCGATACTATACATTTCAGTTTCTCGTGCTAAAAAGCACAAAACTGCTAGTTCAATATTCATTCTATCTATTACCAGACAAGAGTTGCTTCTGAAGAAATCATACCAGTAAACGTGACCATGTCGTGATTGGAAAAAACATGCAAGTCCGTATCATCATCTTCTTCAAGCAATCAGCCCATAGATAGACATCTGTACCATAAAAAGAAGTATTCAAATTTATATGAGTTTGGACTGACACTGATTCTTGCCCCATCTCTATGATCAAATTCTCTCTATTAGCACCTTGAAAGTCTTTCCAGGAGAGCTCATCTGTAGTGCCAGGATAGTATCTTCCAAGATCAATAACAGTTGTCACGCCTCTACTCAAAGCATATTTGCTAGCTCGAAAAAGTGCTTCCCTACGTTCATCCACTGAGACTTCTTGAACAAAGGGAGAGACAAGCTCCATAGCAGCATCGATCAAAAGACCTGTTGGCTCTGCGATGAAGTCATTCGTAAAAGCAAAGTACCAGTTGATTTTAGTATACAATGAAAGTTTCTCAACAATTCAAAGTATTGTGTGCATAAGCAGGCCAAGTGCTAAATGAAAGTACACTAGGCATTACCGCCACTAGGCGTTCTCATTATCGTTCCACCAATTGGATCTTCCGTTAAACTAGTAACACCAGCAATCCTAAGCGTGAGGGAATTCGCCAAGGCCATATGACCATCCATCCTACTCAACCAAACCTACATGATATGGAGAAAACGTAATAAGGCGATGCTGTTGACTACTGACAACACACAATATATCAGCAGATATCTTACAGGATTATGAGGGGAGATTTCATCAATCCATGATGCAGAGGGCAATTCTCCTCCCCAGAAATCGTTGTTCCATCCACCACCCAGAATCCATGAGCCTTCTTTTGCATCTGCATATTTTTGTTGTATCACATATAACAAACCCACTGACTTGAGCTAAATATGTTCAGTGAATACCACAACTAAAAGCAGACACCGATAAACAAATGTAACCATAGTATGATATTTTTTCCTGTTATACTTAAGATTCAACATTACAATGAGTTAAATGAAATTACTCTGCACAGCATCTTTCACCATTTTACAAAACTCATCTTTCTGACTCACACCTCGAAGTCCAACTTGGGCCATCTGTGCTCAAAACATAAATAAGAAAAGGTAAAACGAGAGTTAACTGTTCGAATCTAAATCTGATCAACAATCGCATACGAATTCTCCAAATGCGCTACACACAAGCAAACTTGACAGTATAAATAATAGGTTTGTGCTATCACCTGCAATCCCCCAGAAATCAAATGAACATGTGAATCAATAAGTCCAGGCACTACAACCTTCCCTTCAAGATTCAACTCCATAGTTCCATCTTCAATAAAGTCCTGTCTTCATCGAAACATTATGAGACCGACATCTATCAAACTTCCAGATTCATGCAAGTAAAAAAGCATCGACCACATCAACACTAATACAGCACGAATCACATTGAACACTGAAGAGTCGAATAAAAGAGTGAAGTGAAGTAACCTTGAGAGTGGAAAAGCTTCCGACTTTAAGAATCCTGCCATTACGAATCGCCATAGAATCTGAAAATGGCAAAGAAGTATCACTGGTAAAGATAGTTCCATTTCTCACTAGCAAATCCGCCACGACCCTAACCGGCGGTATAAGAGACTTCAGAGATGACCAATCTGCGAACATCAATCAAGTCGACGACTTTCAGAATCAAAGTCTCAAGAAAATTGCAGAGAAAGGGAAGCTAACAAAGGATGGAAGATAGTAATTACACAAGTCGTTGAGCAGAGGAAGATACGCGACGGAGATGAGGAGGAAGACGGCAGCTGAAACGACGACGAAGCGATTCATAGTCGCCGGAGTTAAGAAAATTCGAGAACCCGGGATTAAGGAAAGGAAATGGGAGTGTTCGTTCCGCTTAAACCAAAACCACTCCTAACCGGAAACAGATACAAAACCGAATTGAAATTCGGTACAAAATCAAAACCAATCCTAACCGGAAACCAATACAAAACGGAATTGAAATTCGATGGAGTCGAGAAAGAAACCCTAAATTAGCAATTTTTACGATGGAGGAGGTTCCAGAGGCGATGCTGGTGGAGATAGTGGCGAGATTACCATTGAGAAGCGTCGCGAGATTCAAATCAGTGTCGAAAACATGCAAATCAATGGTAGAAACTGCGTATTTCTCTTTATGTCTCTGCACAAAAACTCATCTTCATCCTCGTCCTCGTGGTCGCTCATGATCAGAGACCACGTTTGTTGTCCTAGAGAAAAATTTGTAGAAGCTTTAGAGTTCCATGGATGCGAGACATGGGGTCTTACCAAATCAATAAGCTCTTATATCTTCCCACGTGAATGGTATTCGAATCTCCCTAACTTTAAATCCTCGTACAATGGTTCTTCCAACGGATTGATTTGGATTACCCTCTTCTTCGGCTACACGACGGATAGAGATTACATACAATTTGTGGGTAATCCAGTGTTACAACAGTGGGTTGAAATCCGTCCGCCTCTGTATTTAGATAGACCTTCTTTGTCTTGTTTGGTGACCCGAGTAGAAAATGGCGTCGTTTTGGATTTCAAAGCGGTTTGGTTGGATTGTGAAAGTCGCATAGGCTTGTGTGCAAATGTGTATTCTTCTGAGACAGGGAAATGGACTTACAACATGCCACTTCAATGCTCTCGTCCCATCGCAAATGCTTTTACTGATCATCCTGTGGCCATGAGTCTCAATGGGACGCTTTATTTGTGCGAATGTGAAAGGTTTGGTGTCAACTCTGGTTACATTGTAGCTCATGACTTTTATGCTTCTGGCCCTGGAGCTGATCAATGTCAGGTTATACCTCTCCCTGATAATCCGGATAAGGATTACTATAGGAGAGCTTTGACTACTTCAGGAGGAGATGTAATGTTCATTGAGATACTGTCTCAAGGCCAAAGATTGAAGCTTTGGAAGCTGGAGAACAATGAATGTACGAGTGATTCAGGGGACATGTGGAAACTTTCTTGGGAAATCAATAGTGTGTCTTTCGGGTATGGTGGTGGGGATTACTTTCCTATGGCAATGAACCCTTTTGATACTGATCTCAGCTACCTATGGAGTGAAGAACAACGTTGTTTGGTATCATTTAACTTGCGGACACACGAGTTTATTGTCCAACGAGAAACGGAATCTTGTCTCGTAAACACATACATGTTTAAGGAGTATGTGGAAGATATCATTCACTGTATTAGTGATTATGTGGTCATGATACCTCAATTTGTGCTCCCACGGTGGATGGAATCGGTACCCGGTCCCCGAACTGATATCACCGCTTTCTTACTTCATTTCGACATTGCGGTTTTATATCCCTTTCGTTAAGAGAGAAAGGTTTCTTAGCTCCCTATCATTTTCTGTTTTTTTTTGGTTCAACATGATTAGTCTTGGATAGGCGCATATGCTCAAGCTTTCTCTAACTCTATGTTTCATCAAAAGATTCTTCCTCTTAATTTTCTTGCTGAAATATCTCATTAGTTAACATTCTCATTTACTCTCTGCTTCCATGCTCCCTGCTCTGGTTGACTCTGTTTGTGATAGGCATGGGCATACGGGTTTCGGGTCGGGTCAGGTACAACTTCTACCGGATCTAGAAATTTTAGTCCCATACAGGTA